TCTTCTTCTTCTACTTCTACTTCTTCCACTACTCCTGCTGCTGCTGCTTCTACAACTGCCACTGCGACTACTACTGCTACTACAAACATGCCGCCCGAAAGTCCCGCGAATTGAGTACACAATCCAGAAAAGAAGCCCTTTTCCAGATGAAGGAATATGTAGCTTGTACATATATGTATATATTTATTTGTTTATCTATCCAAATATGTGTACGCATGCAGGCATACATACATACGGACATACATAACTACGGTGCAGCCATCCATCAATCCATCCAGCCATCCTTGCAGGCGTATGTATGTTTGTCTGTATGTATGTATGTATGTATGTATGTATGTATGTATGTATGTATGTATACATATATATATATATATACACATGTATCTTACCTCTCAGGAGCAGAGGAAGAGCATCATCTCCGCCCTCGCTGAGAAGATGTGGGTTGCTGTGGATGTGTTTGACCGAAGCACGAAGCAGTTGCGGACCCTCAGGCAACCCTTTCGACTCTTGCTTGCTTTAGGATCTCGAGCTCGACGTTAGCGCCAGCTGTCTGGTTCTCGGTTTGCTACCTAGGTTAAAGAAAGGAAGGAAGTCCGGTGCAAAAAGGAAACGCGTTTTGAGCAACATCCGAGGAGTGTCTCAAGAAGCTGTGCACATACATCCCTTGCCCGTCACAATCCTCCCAGCCTGGGTCGGGCCGCAATGGTTGACCCCGAGCAAGCTTTACAGCGCCTCCGCCGAGGATCCCCTGCCAGGATTTAGGGTTAGGATTTAGGAATGAAGATAGAGTTATAGACATTCCACCAAAGCCTTGTTGAGTTGTTAAGGCCGCTCTCTTTCTGCTTGCGCCCTAAGACAGACGTGTGCACGCACTTTGGGACCAAGCGAGTTCCAGCCGATGCGCAGCTGAGCCGAGCAAGTAGTATAGGGGCCTTAATAATTAGAATAGGGTTTGTGGGCCCATTATGCTATAATGATTATAGCGAATAAGAACCCCCCAAATAGTATTGGTCATTCTTTAGGCTCCTACATTACAAGATGGCAATCTTCACTCCAACTGGACGGTGTACTCATACGGCAGAACAGCAAAGCCTAAAGCCTAACAAGCTAAGTACGAAACCGAACTCTACAACCCCATGAAACCGGTAGCGTGCAGGCGGCCTTGATCCCCTTCTCCTCCCCCCGGTCGAAACCAAGAAGTCGAAATATAGGAGCCTGAATAATTGCCTGTACTGTTGTAGGGGTTCCTTAGTATACTTATAGTATAATATACCTCCAAACCCCTATTCCTTTTTTAAAGGCCCCTATATTATGCAGGACCAGACCAGCTTTACATGGCCGCAGTTTTGGCAAGAACTTGGCTGTTGGCCTACGGTCAGCGTGGAGGATACAGGAGGGGCCTAAATACTTACCTATACTATTTTGGGGGTTCCTTATTATAGTTAAAGTATAATATCTCCCAAAACCCTATTCCGATCATTACGGCCCCTATACTACGGTCAGCGTGGAGGGTACAGGCTTGAAGCAATGTTCGGGCGACTGCCCAGAATGTTTTTGGAAGTGCAGTTTTCGGAGCACCCGTTAGCTTGCAAGGACCAGGTCCCACAGCAATGTTTAAAGTTTCAGCTGCAGGAGAGAGCAAAGATTTCCGCAACATCTTGCAAACTTTGGAGCGGATCTTCGCAGCGCCTTCTCTTGGCGGAGCCTTCGCGCAGAAAGCAGCCACAGAGCTGGTTGAGTGGATGACCCCGCATGCTTTGTACTACAAGCGGTTTCTGGTTAAGGACGCAGTTGCCAGTGCTGGTTCCTGGGTCCTCGTTGGCTACAATTTGACACTTTTGTTATAATAAAACCCAATAAGGATTAGAAATGTTCATTTTTAATATAGCCCCAACATGGAACCAGGTTCGCCTACATCGATCCCAATGTCCGACATGCTTCGCAGCTCCCCTTGGTTGCCTTCGTGGCATGGAGATCGTCTTCTAACCTTGGGAAATGGTTGGGTCCCTGTTCCGGGACAAAGCGAAGTCACCGCGCGACAGTCCAAGTTTCTCGCCAGCAGTGCCTTTCACAGCGTCGTCCACCAATTCGCTGAGAAATGGCCATTCCTACACCTGGCACAATGGCCCACTGCGAGAATCATCGTGCGTACGCTGAAGTACCAATCGAGCTTGCCACAACCCGTCTGGAGCTCTGGGGAGATGTCTTACGTATCCTAGTTGCCCAGACTCGGACGTTTAAGCTTGTTGGTTTGGGATGTAGAATTAGTCTCACCGTTGTAGTGCTTGGTTCCTGAAAATGTCGTGGAAGACAGGTATACAAGTCCCTTGGATGGACGCTCAACCACGAGCGCATCTCGCGCACAAACTGGGGTGCCGAGCCGACCCCGGAAGCATGTGAAGTTCGTGAGTATCTCCTTCACGAGCCATGGATCTTCCTGCCCACACGTAGACGAGGCAACTACAAAGTCCATGATGAAGAGGCGGGCAAGTTCTACCCGTCGAGCTCTGTAGCAATGTATGATGCATCGCAGCTTTTCTCCGACCGAAGAGCCTTCAGAAGCAGCGGCTACGAGTATGTCTCGGACGAGATGGCCTGGACCGTCTCGCAGAAGGTGTTCATGAGAACAGCGAAGGAGCACTACTCGGACAAGGTCGTCCAAGCTTTGTTGAAGGAGCCTGGAAGATGTTTGCAGCAGAAGCTTTTGCAATCTTCTACACGATAAGATGGCCGTAGTTCTACAAACACACACGCACACACAGTCTTTTGCTTGAAAGAGTTAGCCAGTTTCGGCCTGCACAGCTTTGTCCCGACACAAGGAATGGGGCGTGGCACCTCACATGGGATGGGATGCGTACCTCGATGTGCTGCGGATGGTCGATGAGCTTGCGAATTCTGAAAGCCATGATCATGTATGGGAGCACGACCATGCGTTGCACGAGATCGTTTGGCGGATTGTCAGATTGCTGGGCAAGATTCCGGTTGAAGAGGATGCTGAAGATGGCAAAGATCGAGGCAAGCTGGAGCGTTTTTCCAACATCCCCAGCATGCTCTCCCTGCCTTCATTCCTCCTGCATGACCAGGAGACAAGCTTGATGAAAACGAGGCAGCTCAAGCAGATGAGGACGATTCTTGAGACGCTCCTGTTTCTCCTGAGCAGAGCCAAAGAGGGTGCGGCCGGTCGAGGCAAACGTAAGTTCTGCCCCCTGACCATGAGCCTGATAAGATACATATTACAGGGGCCTAAATAATTTACCTACACGATTTTGGAGGGCTCCTTATTTTAAATGTAGTATCGTTGGCCCCAAAACCCAATCATGAAGGCCCCTACGTGCATAGTGGCCCGCTTCAAAGTATATCTGTATTTCATACACCCCAACACCCTTTTCTAATTATCCTGTTTAGGGGTCTCCCCTTCCCGAACAAACAGATCGGTTTCGGTTCCAGAACCTTATTTAGGAGGTCACGATCTCTGGGCTAGTGTTAAAATAAAGGACGGTCCGACCCGGCTTCTCATGTTTCTTCACTATGATTCCATACATATATATATATATACACACACATAGCTCTATATAGGTCCTTAAACAAGTAGGTAGGTGTTTGGTGGATTTTCCTGTGCAAACTCGGCTCCAAACCGTGTTCCTTCAAACCCAAAGCCCCAACACCCTAAACCCTACATGCCCGAAGCTCCTGAATCCTGTACCCAAATTCCCGAAACCCCTAAACCCCAACCGTTGCGCCTCTGCCCTTAAAGCCCTAAACCCCTGACCCTTCAACCCCTAAACCCCTAAACCCCAAAACCCCAAAACCCTAAAACCCTAAAACCCTAAAACCCCAAACCCAAAACCTAAACCCTTAAACCCTTAAACCCCTGAACCCTAACCCCCTGAACCCTGGGCTCCAGAGAGGGTCCCGCGTATGCGACCCTACTTGGAAGATCAGGGGACTTAGTAAGTAGGTTATAAGTGGGTAGTTGTCAAAGTTATGGTCCCTTTTGGGGTCCCCTAAATAATAGGTGCCATGTTATAATAAGGACCCAAAAAGGGACCCTAATTTTGACAACCACCCAAGTGGAGTTATAAGTACCCTCAGAGGGTCGTGACGTCGGTGCCTGTTTTCCAGGACGCAGAGTTTGGCCGGCCTGGGGATTTCCGGCAGCTTGTGGAGGCGTTGGGGGGTTTGAGGGTTTAGGTTTTAGGTTTAGGGTTTAGGGTTCAGGTTTTAGGTTTTAGGTTTAGGGCTTAGGGTTTAGGGTTTTGGGTTTGGGGTTTAGGCTTTGGGGGGGTTTAGGCCTCGGCTTAGGCGGGCTTCATTGGTGTGTAGGTGTAGGATGGGTGAGATAACTACTAATCATTCAGACTGCTATCGTGCTTGATAGGCTTCATGGGGATTGCGGGATTTGGGGTCTTGGAGTTAAACCCTAAACCCTAAAGATTTGGGGTTGATCAGTTTTTGAGTTGCAGACTATAACCACACGTGTAAGTTGCCATTTCAGGGTTTGGATTTCAGCAGGTCGGGGTTTATCGGGCCATAGGGTTTAGGGTTTAGGTGTACGAATTTCAGGGTTTGGGGCTTGAGGGTTAATCTAGCCATGATTCAGGGGTTGAGTGTCAGGGTTCATAAGTTTGAATGTTTTAGAGGTTTCACCTTTTTTCAGGCATCAGGTCTGTTGGCACATGATCTCCAGTTTGGTGATCTCCAGGCGTCGATACTCTTCAGACCTCTCCAGCTGGAAGTCATCAGATGTTTTGTCCAAGGCTTGGGTGCTCAGACCGTGCATCCTTGACTCTAGATCAGCATGGTATGTAATACATCATGCACCCCGTCGCATCCTAGCCGCCCTTGCACGAGGAAGCCAAGAATCTCCGCATCGTTTGGACGTCTTCGCGGCGCTTTCGGAAGTCACCGGTCTCCGACCGTGTACACGGCATTGTCATGTGTTTCGCTCATATTCCAGCTGAGAGAGTGGGTTCTGCAAATGCTGCGGATTGTTTTTTTTCTCACCCACCCCTTAATTAAGCAATATACCTTAAACTATAAGGGGCTTCATATTATGTTTTAAGCTATCTTCCTTAATTAAGGGGTGTTGGGCTCTCTGGGGAGCTGTTCTTTCACGACAGCCGAGGCCCTCTGAGGTCCTCTTTGTCGCGGATGCGAAATCTTGGCTAGACGAGGCGCCACGCGTCTTCTAAGCCCCCAGCTTACGCCCCCAAGCCGAAGACAGTGTACCCTGGAAGAGGCCAAGCATTTTGCGACCTATGTCCCAAAGAACCTCAAAGACGTCATGAACGGCTGGATCTTCCTGGGCCTTCGAAGTCAGAGTCTCAGTGTCTGCAACACGAGAGCAGCGAAGAAGCTGGATCAAGGTGGGATGCTGAACGGCCCGAAGTACCCAGCTCCCCAAACACTGTGGTGACAGTCTAGGGCTCCCCTAAACCCTAGACCCTAAACCGTCTTACCTTCAAAGGCGAGGGAGTAAGTCGTGGCTGTCAGCACAAGGCGCCAAAATGGTAATCTAGGGATAATTACCTATACCGTTTTGGGGATTCCCTATGATAATTTTGAATTACTACAGTTATCCCAAAACCCTGTTCTACCCATTAAGGCCCCGATAGTAGGTGCACGCACTTCTCGGCTTCTGGGGCTCTGCGCTGTGGTCTCGTGGTTACGGTTTAGGGTTTAGGGTTAAGGTTTTGGGGATTTTGAGACGGTCCGGAAGTGGTCTGCGGCGGTGGCCCTGGTGTGGTCTTCCAGTGGCTTTCTCTCTGGTCTTTCACATCCTACTGTTTGCGTTTCAAGATGCCATCATGGCGGATATGGCTTTCCTGGGTTTGGGAATGGGGGTGCAAAGGCCCTCTGCCCACGAAGTTCGTAGGCAGCTTGCAGAGAGCGCACCTGCCAGAACACCCCTTAGACCACTAAGCCCTAAACCCTAAACACCTACACCTTAGACCACTAACCCATCATGAAATGCACGGCTTGGGCCGAGGATGGGAACCCTGGAGCACCTGCCAAAGCATCCTACCCCAGCTGAAACCACCAGATGCCCAGGCTTCATTATGTTGTTTCATTTTACAAAGAGGTTGTCTTATATTATCCTGTATGATATTACGTTACTAGTTATATTATCGTAGATTCGATAATTACATTCTTGTAGTGATTCCAGCTTCAATATTAACACTCATCTTCATTTTCAGAGCAATAGTAACGGTACATTTTGGTAATCGATGTCCCTTGTGATCGGCTTAGGTTCTGACCACCCGGTTGGTCGAGGTGTGTTCCGCTAGAGCCGGAAGTTTCGCTGCTTTCACATGTATGTTACAAGCCTTCCTGACTTGGCACCTCAAACCGAAGCTGTGTATAGCATCAATCGAGCACAATTTCAAGCACTGTGTGTATATATTGTATATTTATGTATGTACTTGTTTATCTGTTTATGTTAACATGGACATGTCTAACATGTTATATGTTTTCATAGCCTGTTTCTCTGTCTTGCCCTGTATAGCTCAGGACATTCACGAGGCCAGATTTGCGCGAGCCATTTACCTGGGTGGCGTGCGGGCCTTAGCTTCAGCGGTTAGCTGCAGCCGCTCAACCACAAGTAAGTTACTCCGAAGTACTGTTGAAGAGCAAGTCCGGGATCATCCGGCAGGGGAAAACTCGCGTAGCGTGCCTATAAATATGCGGAGCTGTCTAGCCCTGGCTACGTTCACAGTAAGAGATTTGAAAGTGGTCACCGTTAAGAAAGAATAGACCTTATGCCCTTTAAGTCATGCCGGCGCCCCTTGCTCTAATATAAGTTCTGCATGTCCCTTACTGTATACAGGGTTTTGGAGTGTTTGCAAGCGTCAGGTCAGAAGCGCGCTGATGAAATTTGAAGCGCAGAACAAGAACCTCACAGAGGAGGCCAGGGATTTGATCCGGAAGGCATGGTACCTGGCAATCTCGGTGAAGCTCCTCGGACTTGCCTCCGACTATTTCCTCAATCTTCCGGCTTGGTTTACGGCTGTACCTGCCCGAGTCGAGACATGCCGACTTTCGTCTTCCGAGTTCCAAAAAGCATACGATGATGTTCCGTACTGAGGGTGCCATATCAGCCCTCCACCCAGCGTAGTCCAACTGGATGTCCGCGGCACAGTCAAGTCCCATCGACTCTCTGTATTCCGATCTTCCGAGATGCGAAGCCAAGACGCATCCCCGAACCCGAATTCCTCGGCCCGGTGAAAGGAGGGACCCCATGATCTACACCGTTTCCTGGTAACGTCTAGAGATAAACAGCTTTCAGCAAGCCTCTACAACCTGCTGATGGTAGTGTTTTGTTGGCGCCACACCCTGTCGACGTCTTCTTTCTATTCCGCTTCAGCCAACTACGAGGTCCGAAGTGTTGCAAGCCTCTGCAGCCTTGAGTCTCAGTCAGGAAGTCGGAAGTACATGCTAGATTCGTAGTCTGATGTGCTGGTGCTTAGATACATCCCACAAAAGCATCAATCGACCAGAAAGCAAGTGCCAATGAAGCTTCAGAAAGCAAGCATGATGCTGACTCCAGTTCGAAACACTTGCCACAAGGACTTGACACTAAATCCTGAACCGTAGCGACCCAGCTGCAGGAAAAAGAGTCACGTAGTACTTCCTAAACATGAACCTTAAACCCTAAACCCCCTAATCCCTGAATCCTACACCCTGAATCAGTTAGGTGCAGTCAATGTCATGGTCCTATGTTAGCCTCGCCTGTGAGCTTTGTTCTCTGCCATGCGAGAGGGCAAACACCCTGAATCCTTAAAACTTAAAACCAAAACCCTCTGATCCTGTTCTCCATCCCAGGTTCTTCGTTTGCAGTGGCCATTCGAAGGAGGAGGCGCTTCAGGCCCAGCAGGTGACCGAAGCTGCAGGGTGTACCAGAAAGTGCTTTAATTCCCAAAAGGGCTCTTTGGGCTTTAGGGTTGATGAAAGGGTTAGGGTTTGGGGTTTAGGGCTTTAGGGTTTTCGGGTTTAGGAATACGGTTGATGATATGAAACCTGCATTGCCCATAATAAGGAATGTTGCATAATTCCTGCAGTTTAGGGTCCTTAAGGTGATTGCAGGATTTATATCATCAACCGTCGTATTCTTCCTCATGCATAAATTAATTTTCCTATTCTGTTGGGCTTCTGGATAAAGAAAATATACCCCGAAACTCTATGCTAGCTATGAAAGCCGCTATGTCATCAGGCCTTGTTCATGCACGGCTTGGGTGGTGTCAGCTTCTAGGTTTGAGGATACATCTAGGGAATCCTGTTTGGTGTTCAGACTGTAAAAGTTGAGGTTCGGGTTTTAAGGTGGTACAGAAGACCATCAGTGTGAGGGGCTTAGGGGTATCGGTATCGTCACAAACAAGTGGGACCTATAAGTTTGGGGTGCTTGTAAGCGATACGGAGCCGCGTCTTAAGTTCGGGCTTGTAGGGTCTAGGGATTTCAGTTGTCATGGTCCTAGTGACTAGTGATTGGTGCAAAGGGATGTGGGGGCAAATATGCAGATGCTGTTCAGAAAGCTGTGTAGTTGCGGGGGGAGTCTGAATGCCCCCATCAGCGGACCTTTTGAAAGCTCTGAGTGTAGGGAGGCAGCACTTTGATGCACTGGAAGTAGAGCTCTTTTCGTGGCATGGCTGCCGCCGTTTTGGGCAGTCCTGGAGTTTTAAGATAATGAAGTTCAGGTTTCAGAAGTAGCCAAGGAGACTAAAGGTATGCCTCCCAACTCGCTGCCTCAAGCTCCGGCATTCTCGTATGTAGGCTTCCGCATGATTTTTTGGTGTGGAGCTTTTGGTGTACAGTTTATCAGTAGAAGGACTCTGTTGAGGGTCCGCTTGCCTCTGGCATTCCAGCTTTGCGTTCCAGAACAGGCAGCGGGTTTTTTCTACTAGCGGTTGGGCAGAAAGACAACTCTGTCTTGAGGAGATGCCGAACAGAAGGAAGTGTTGGTTTCATTATGTTTCGGCATAACTTCCAAGTTTTTTGGAAAAAGGCTAGCCCGCTAGTCCGAGCAGTCCTGTTCCAAGACTTCGCAAATGGGTAGTTCCCTTTGGTGGTCCTTTTTTAAAGGGTGCCGTACTATATTGGGGACTCAAACAGGGGCCCTAATTTAGAGAACTACCCAAATAGAAAAGCATCTGGCAGTGCTCTCCTGGGACTCAGGTGATTGCTGTACCTCGGTGTCGCGCGCAATCAATTGGCAATGCGGTTGCCACAGCCACAGACAACATCGCCAGCGCGACATTGGTGACCATGCGAGAAGATATTGCCGTGGCGCGCGTTGAGAAGCCGATCTTGAAGACACACATGGCAGGCTTCATACTGAGACCAGCTTGCATCTATGGTCAGCTTTTCCTCGCTATGCTTTACAATGTGCAGCTCATGTTACCCGTACGGACAAGATTGAGTCATCTTGGCCCAAGTTGTCGCAAAAGATCTGCAGTGTGGGTACAAGGTGCATGGCTTGTCTGTCTAGATGTTGCAATTCACATTAGTTTTTGAGCCTCCGAAACGGGTAATTGGGTATCTGTGCTCTGGCATTTGTCCATTTTCCGAGGTCGGAGCAACGACGACAGCTTGCAATCGCCCTGCATGTGCCACCAAAAGCCTACGCGGCCGATGTCTTGCAAAAGCATCCTGAATTCGCTGAGATGCTCTTCGCCGAGTTACCTCATGTTTGTGATGATGTCAGCTGCATACCGGAAGACGCTTATGCTGGTCTGCAAAAGGAGGCGCCTGAATCAACACCTGTGTCCCTCCGATCAAGTCCTCTATGAAAGTGCTGACAACGCCCCGGACCCAAAATCCTAAACCGTGAACCCTAAACCCTAAACTCTCATCCCTCAGCCCTGCAGGCAGTCAAGACTTTGCAGAATGTTTCCTGGGATATGTGGAGTCAGGGGACCCGGGGAAAGAATTTACCACAGACGGGGGACATCATCAAGGCGGTGGAGGACTGCACAACTGTGCACCTCCAGTTGACACATACCGGAGGTTAAAGTTGTCAGAGATTCACAGATATATCCGTTAAAAGTTTGGTCAAACAATTGGCCCAATGTAATAGTAGAGGGCCTCAGTAGCATTTAAGGTACATTGCTTTTTTCAGGGGTTAAGAAGTTTCTGGGCTATCATCAGAAGTTATGCAGACCCTGAGCCCTACCTAAGTCCTTGAAGCCCTGAACTCTAACCTAAACCCTAAACCCTCACCAAGAACACACGCAGACACAGACACACACACACACAACGAGGTCGAATGGGTCAATCCTCAAACCCTGTTCAACTACATCCCGGTTTAGGGTTCATGGTTCTGCACTTGTCTAGTGGCAATTGCTCTTGGAAGTCGATGTGGCTGAGGTACAGCTTTCACACATGGACCACTCGACTGAGTTGCAGTTGAAAGTCCGATATGGGGGGTTGGAAGTTCAGGGGCTATTGCCTTATTTAGGGATCCCGATAGCCATCATCTTGCTTTTTAGGAGCGACAAATTCAGGCTCCCCTAGTTTCCTTAAATCCGGCATATTATCGGCACAAAGCCCTCGAGGTTGGGCTTTGATGAGTAGAGCCTGAAAGCCCCAAAAATATTTGAAAGAAGCCCAATGCCCCCCAATTAAGGAAGATAGCTTTGAATCATAGTCTGAAGCCCCTTATAGTTTAAAGCATATTCGTTAATTTCGGGGTATTGGGCTCTCTGGGTACAAAGAACTCTACAAGCGCAAGGACTCCTTGAAGAGGCAAAGCGAAAAGGGCCGGCTCTCGCGCACGCAACAGCGCACATGGGGATTGCAAGCAGCATTGGAGATCGAACCCGAAGAGGCCTCTTGGCTTCAGAGTTTTGCACTGGGGGTTTAGGGTTTAGGGTTTTGTAATAGGGGTTTAGTGAGTAGGGTTTTGTAACAAGGGTTTAGGGTTTAGGGTTTTGTAATAAGGGCTTAGGTTTAGGGTAATAGGGGTCTCCTTTGTTATAAGAGTCTTTAGGTCTCTAAGGCTCTCCCAGCGCTTGATATGATTTTGCAGCTCAAGTTTCATCGTTCCCATGAGTTTACGGAGCTCATGCATTTCTCCGTTTGAATTTTTCTGTCATAGGACATTAATCAAGCTCCTTTTGAAGACGATGGGTCTTATAAAGGAACTTACGAAGAAGAAAGAAACCCAGACTTTCGTAGATTCCAAGCAGGCAGGTATCCCCCCCGATGGCAAGACTCAGAAAGGCGTGGCAGCGCCTGCTGGAAGGAGAAGACTTGTTCCAGAATGAAGAGGAAGAGGAGGAGGAGACCGTTTCATAGCAAGAGTTCAGCATTTAGGGCATCCTGCCACTACATGATCTGTGATGTCCCAGACACGCAAGATTGAAGCTATTCTTTGACTGCCTTTCCGTAATTTCCAAAAGTCGCCCTCATAAGTGGACTCGTGAACATCGTCTGTATGAATTGAATAAGGTTGTATCCACAAGCACCTTCGTAGGGGCTGGGTTGCACATGCCGTGTTTGCCCCATTGCACCCCCAGACTCCAATTAAGCTACAAGCGACGGAATGTATGTTGCATAAATGAGAAGCCGGTACTTGCAACAAGCGAAAAAATCCTCAGGACTCATCAGTAAGGCCCCGAGATTACCTAAACCCTGAACCCTGAACCCTGAACCCTAAACCCTAAACCGAAAACCTCTGTCAGGAGCCAAGCCTTGCTTCCGGCATACCCTTTGCCGGGACCGGCCAGGGTGTCGGGGAGCACCGCGAGGGCACAGCCGTGGCCACGGGGCTTGACAGAGACCTTAGTGGCACCGTAGATGTGGTTTAAGGTTTAGGGATGTTTCTGAAGCTGATCAGCAGTGTCTGGGTTTCAAAAAAAGGTTGTTTCTGATACCACCCCTTATCTATGTGGCACTTTGGGAACCTTTTATTTTCCCTTATGGTTCGGTTCCTATATGTAGAGGTACCTATTCATAAATAGTTTTTTTTTTTTTTTGGGGGGNNCGAAACTACAACCCAGTTATTGTAAGGACACCAAAAGAAGCTGTCCCTCCTTAATGGCCTGAGTGAAGAGTCAAGCACCTGACCTGCGCCGCCTAGCCTTGAGCGTCGAAACCACAAGATCATCGGTTTAGGGCTTTAGGGTTTTATTGTGAGGGGTGTTTAGGGCTGAAGGTTTTGGCTCCTGCAACGTTCTCACATGCCACTGCAGGCCGGTTCGGGCCCTGCGCCCCCATGTGACGATCGCCCCTGGGAGGAGGATGCTCTCAGCGCAATCAGTGAGGAGGCAGAATGGCTTGTCGGGTTTCCTTAAGTAGGGTCCCGATGATAGTTAAAGCCACAAGCCCTAGATCCTGAGCCCTAGTCGCTGAGCAAGTGGTGCAGCCATAGTCATAGGTACTGTCTTGGTGGAGGCCTAACAAGCAACGTCCTGATTTCGGCAAAAAAATCAGGGGCATGCCCGGATGAATCTGGACCCCGGGCTTTGCTAGCTCCTAGCCTCACTTTCTCGATGCCTAACATAAAACCTACTGAGGGCCAGGGTGCATCAAACGATGGTTTGTGCGTTGTCAAGCGTTGAGTCATGTTCCAACCACCTGGAGGCCACCATATCGTTTGGGGTTCCTTGGTACAGGCCTACTGTAATTCATAGACAAGGATATACTCCAACCCTATCCTAATTATTTCTGCTCCTACAACCAGGGAAGCCCCCTACTTGGAGGCCCAGGGGACTTAGTAAGTCGGTTATAAGTAGGGTTTTTTTTGGGGGTAACTCCACTTAGGGTACTTATAACTCTACTTATAACCTACTTATTAAGTCCCCTAAGCCTCCAAG